CAATAATGTAAACAATCCTTGACCTAATTTCGTTTGTCTAACAAATTAACATCTGCAAACACAAAACGATTTTGAACAAAGAAATAAAAGCATTTCCACAAACCTTTGCGATGTTATTCATCAGCAAATCTATATCTTGGATGGAGAAATCTGAAAAACACGAACGTTATTCTGTCGATGGTCCGAACAATGGCGGGTGTGCCCTACTAGTCAAAACCAAGTTTTTACCAAATTGCATCCGTTAATTCCAGAATACTTTGAAAGACTTGTATTGTTATCTTGTTTTTTTATTATTTATATAAATAATATTATTGTTTCAAACGCTTTGATTCTATGAAAGTTTGCGAACCATTTTTTGCGAAAATAGTACGCTTTTTTAAGGCCACATATTGTATCCATTGTTTCCTCTTGAGTTATTGACGTAAAAAAAATCAGCGGTGGCATAAAATGCTATTCAATAAATTGCTAAATATATACAATAAATACTTTCATTTCCCTTCGGTTGACTTACATATGAATTTTTCAGCATCTCTGCTACAAAATTACACCTTATTTATATTCAATTTATTGTACATAGGTACATGGATACAAACTTTTCTTTGGCCTAATGCGTAATAATACTGATGTTTTTTTTTCGTACACGTTTAAGATTATGTTCCATTGATGTTAGCTAACATTGAATATCATCATTTCAAGTTTTTTTGAACATCAGCTTTTTCTTCAAGTCATCCACGTTTGAAAGTATACATATAGTTCTGCTGCACTACTTTCTTGGTCGCATTAACTACTTATTTTCTATTGAGCTTAAACAGAATGCAATTAGGTGTTGTTCGTTCTTTTTGATATAGGCAGACCGATAATATAGAAAGGAAATTTTTTTTTGAAAAAATTTCCTTCCAAAAATGATAAACAACTGACTACTGCGATGAAAAATGCCCACCCCCTGTGTACTGGTCAGTAGGGTGTTACACCTTACCGTTATACAGATAGTTAGATCAGTTGGTGATAGGAAAGGATATGATGATTAGAATATGATATGATTTATAGGATTGGATGTGATAGGATATCTAAGGATAGGATATGATGAATAGGATAGGACATGATTAATAGGATAGGATATGATTAATAGTACAGAATATGATGGGCAGGATATGATAGGATATGATGAAAATGATATGATATGATGAATATCATACGATAAATAGGATAGGATCGGATGGATAGGATATAATGAATAAGATAGGATATGATAGGATATATAGGGTATGATAAAATACGATGAATAGGATAGGATAGGATAAGGAAGGGATATAATAAGGAAGATTAACTTTAACTTTTATAAGTGTTTCGTTATAACACATATATAATACAAATTTAGAAGAACAATACAGAGTATTTGGTAATGCTCCTTGTTTACGATATTCAAATTTATTCTTGCAGCCACAAACCTTGCAGTTAAATTGATACTTATGTAAAGTAGTAACATTGATAATGATTGATGTCAATATGATGATTTTCTTTTCATAACTTTGATAAAATAGTGAAGAATTTAAATTGTACAACAAGCCAATATTTATATTATACCCGTTGCCTTAATATGTATTTTTTTCCTTTCATCTTAAATGTTATTAAGATTTCATCTTGATTTATTAAAATTTTCATCTTTCTTTTATTAAGATCACTTTTTACTATATATTTATTTTGAAGAATTCACATGAATATACAACATTTCAAGTTATTTCACGAGATCATAAACGTCTTCATAAAGATGTTTGCAATAATATGAGCCGTGTCACGATAAAACCAACGTCATGCGTTTGCGACCAGCATGCATCCGCGCAGTCTGATCAGGATCCTACTGTTCGCTTACAAACCCTATAATAAGTAAAGAAACTGATAGCGAACAGCATGGATCCTGATCAGACTGCGCGGATGCGCAGGCTGGTCTGGATCTATCCTGGTCGCAAACCCACTATGTTGGTTTTGTCATGACACGGCTCAATTATCTTTCAAATGAATGATTAATGGTCCGGAGAATGTAGTAATATATAAATGCAAATGACTTATCGTAATAGAATCTTTACATATGAAAGAAAAAGCTTTTAGTTGTTGTATATCATATTTGGATGTCGTGATCAGTGAATCTTGTGAATACAAACTGGTACAAAAGTCTTGTGCACGTAATTCACGTTATTTAAGAAAATTTTGGTTGGGTTTTATCTTACACAGTAACTGTAACTGTCAGATTCCTTAATGATCATGGAGTGCTACACCGCCGTTCTGGTCGCGGGTTGGGTACCTTCCTTTTTAAAACAAATCAAACAACTTTTTACTTTAGCAAATATTTTATATATAATATGTTTTTAATGTCCTTAAAGAGTAATTATACTGCATTTTCAGCCGTTTCTGTATTTCTAAGTATGTCGTTAACTCTAAGCCTCAAGCAAGGCCATTGGGGCTGCTATCTTTACATATCAGACGTTTTTATCCTAATGTCATGACAAATAACTCACTACGATAAGGGCTTACGTCCCAACTTACTGCGATTGTTTTTTTAGTTATATTTCTTGTCATTGTTAGGATTGCGAGCCATTTGTTAGTCTGGACTGGGATAAAATTAATGTTCCAACCTTCGCCCTCCTTCGGTAAAACCCGTTCGTCCTCTTTCGGTAAAACCCGGAGTGGCTAAATATACTACAAGCGAATGAACACTTAAATTATACTGAATTTTGTATCATTATTATTATTATTATCATCATTTTTACATAGTTCATTGAGAGTTCAAGTAGTTTAATGAAGGTTTTCAAAACTTATCAAAGATTTATATCAATAACGTTTTTGAAAGCACGGCCCGTAATGGATCACGATATACGATGTTATTAATTTGAGCCGCGCCATGACAAAACCAACATAATGGGTTTGCGACATGCATGGATCAAGACCAGCCTGCGCATCCGAGCAGTCTGATCAGGATCCATGCTATTCGCTATCAGTTTCTCTACTTGTAATAGGGTTGGTAAGCGAACAGCATGGATCTTGATCAGACTGCGCGGATGCGCAGGCTGGTATGGTTCCATGCTGGTCGCAAACGCACTATGTTGGTTTTGTCGTGACGCGGCTCATTGTATGTTTATATTTACTTAAAATTGGAAGGTTTCTACTATTAGTCAGATTTAAGTCAGTTTTAGCGTCAAACAAATTGCAACACAAGCTTTTTCACATTTTTTCACCGATATACACATCATATAAAACAGTTAGAATTGCAACACAAGTTTTCTTTAGTATTTTGCAATCCATATTTTATATGAACGGAGCTGAAAACATATTCCGTCGGAAACTTATACTACAATGCCGATTTAATTATTTTAATCGGAAAATACTAAGAAAACTTGTGATGAAATTTGTGTGACGTCAAGCTACATATACTCATAACTTTAGTGTGACGATAACAACTTGTTTATAAAGTCTAAAGTGATTTAAATAAGAATAAACATTTATAATTATGATGAATTACATTTTGTTAAAGAGTGTTTATGTTTTGCTATATATAGATATACGAATTATTATCTTACGCCTACCAACCTCGCCCATTTATGATATATTTTTCACGATTTGTCGTCATATGTGTTACAAAAAAAAATGCTTATATTAGACAAGATTATGAGGGGTATCATTCTTGTAAAACGATTTAGATTGTAAAATAATAAGGTTAGTAACCTGATTTTACCCTTCAGAAAAACCCAACATTTTTTTCACTTAAAGCAGCGTGCCTCATTATTCATACTTATTTTCTTGAAAATTATAAAAATGTTTTTAAAAGTAAAATATCGTGAAGTGAACAAAACCTATAATATACACATTACATACGACTCTTAAAGTCCACGCAAATTACCAAAACTGCAAAAATAGACTTTACTGCGTTAGTCAAGCAGTAGAAATATAGAGATAAATAAACGCAAAATCAGTCATTAATCGCATATACTTGTACATCAATAATTGAATCTTTGTAATTGTCTTAAATCATAGTATATTGTTTTCTCAGGTTTAATTTTCCTGAAAATATTTTTGGCTCATCTGGAGTCATGTAGCTATACAAATAACTTTGGGACATTTTTTATGGGTAAAAATGTACTGACTTCCTCATGACAGTGTTTTGGCAAAAAACTTAAACATGTTCATTATAATAGACAGCAAGAAGGTATAATGTTTGCATCGTGTGTGGCAGTTCTTATAATTATTTATAGTTCTTACAATAAACTAGACTTAAATACAACAATAACGTGCATTTAGCAATAAAACATAACAATGCTTCGGCAAAGTTCCAAGGACACGAATTAATAACATATTTTATAACCTATTATTCAGATCCATTCTTTTACTACTGAAATGTGTTCACGTCTTAATTCAATGTCACGTGAGAGATGATTAAATCGTATATAGTAAATCGAAACGCTTTTGAATATGTCTTTAAAAGTGGCTATTTTGCCTGACCGTAGTCGATTCATTTATTGATCATTAGTACGGTTTCACGTCCTTTAGGTCCATTGCCGTCGTTTTTAGGCGTTAACGTGCTGAAGCATATATACTGCTTGTGTCGTCAGTGGCCGAGTGGTTAAGATCATTGATTTTAACCATTTGCCCCTTACAGCTGTTTGTTAGAATTCCGCCAGTAATAGATTATCCAGCTAGCTTACGGAGCGCCGGTGGTTCAACTCGGCTGCCAGCTCATGCCCGAAGTAATGCACATGAGGTCTTCCTCCTCAAGTAAAGCTGGAAATTCGCCACACGGATTCTACGTTGTTGGTGCGATGTGAAGCCAAAATCGACCATAAAAAAGCAACAAACTGTTGTTGTTCCGTCTAACGCATTTGAAGTCATCAGGCGGTGCACTGTGCTTTGTAGGAGAGAAATTGTTTTTGGCTACATGGGTTATAAAAGACTATGTAGAGCTTTTCATATTGCGCCATATTAGCTATCAAAATAACAAATGAACTAAAGCAGAACAAAAACGAGTATATTTATATAGGTAACAATTGTTTGATAACAATATGCTATCAACTAGTACACAAGAACTGATATATTGAGCTAACAATCGCTCGAGTAACATATAATTATCATTAATTGGTTTACTAAAAAATTCAAACACAACAACACTATATAAATAAAGGGAGGTTATAATAATTACAGCTACTATCATGGAATGTTGGTAAATATAAATAAAGGAAGGTAACCAATATTTCATATCAACGACAAAAACACTACAGGTATAACTATGAAAGAAATACTTTGCGTATAGATATGAAAATCTTAATGAAAATTACCTAAAATTACCTTAAATGGACTTTATTAATTTAGCCTTAAAACGTTCAACGTTGTTGAACAACACTATAAATAATTGGATATAACAATATACACATGTAATAGAGTCTGAAAATGTGAAGCTTGACCGGGACACAAACCTAGGACCGTCGCAATGCTGTTTTGAGTTTCCACCGACTGTGCTATCCGGTTGCCCATATGGGCGAGTCCTCCAGAAGAGTATTAGTCATTTTAGATTTTGGAGGATAGTGCAAGATACAGATACAGGAAGATGCCCCAATTCCAGGAGCTTCTCCTGGTTCTTTAGCGTGCCAAATGTTAAAACACTCATACACGGGACCTCGATTTAAAGTCACATCCGAAAGACTGATAAGTAATTTTAGTTGGCCAGCCCAGGAATCGAACCCACAATGTCGATATCACTAGTCTCGTGCACTAACCGACTGAGCTACGCGGGCTGATCGTGCTATCCGGACATTTACACAACGTTCTTAAATAGTGAACAGTTCAAAACCGTGACAAACTTCTCCGCTATATTGAAATTCGCCCTAAATGTCTCAGGGTAAGAGAGCAATTAATGTGAATTAAACTCCGAGGTATATGCAGTCATGGCCCTACGCTGTGCACTAGATATCACAGGGTGAGAAAATGTACAGTCTGACCAGAACTCGAGGCCAGACCCCTAAGAATACCGTTCCGCGCCTTTACTAACCCTAAATAGTGAACAGTTTTTAACCGTGACATAACATTTTGTAGGAAATTTAACATGTTCTAAATAACGTTTGATTTGAAAAAATAGAGCGTGTACCTTTTTTAATAGGACTATCCCTGGTTACGGAGATAGGACACAGGTAAGCTTCACGTGATTTTTTCTGTTCACGAATTATATTTCCGAAAAAAAAATATAGGAGAGGACGTGCGCAAAACGTATGTTACACATGTATATACATATATTTTGTTTCAAGTAAGATTATGATAATATGATTCAAACATTTACATGTTTTAAAAACTCAATTAATATGCATAACAGAAATATAATCATCATGAAGATGGCCGACAACAAGTGTCGACTCATTTCTTTCAAAACATAAACTTTGAGGCATATACATATTATTTGTCCTGTCAGCCACTCGCCCCAATTGATATTTCCCTTTCCGGTTAACACGTGTAACTGTATGCTTCCTGTAATTACACACGAGTAAACTTCCGTCGCCGAGAACACACACGTCTGCCACATAACTCAAGTCTCCTTTACTCAAACAAGATAAACGATTACCTCCCTTGTCTATCGTAACGAGGCCGCCGTCACGTGCTGCTATATATAGCTTCTCCCCATCCTCACTTACTGCAATTTTACAAAAACTATGATTTCCTTCAAGTTGTCTATAAAGAATACCTTTCTCAACACAATCCAGTGTGTACATATACACATTCATCGGATCGGTAGCATATAAAATATCTTCGTAAAATGCAACGCCGAAACAATCGTGATCAAGTGGAATTCTTTCTTTCAATATCATTGCGCCACTAACATCCACAAATTGAATCGCCGGATCAAAGAGCGTAACAGCTAGCAAATTTTTGTTTTTTGAGTAGCAAACGTCCCTTGGGCATCCTGGAAGGTCGCAATGGTCAATTTTGTTGAAGTCTTTGTCAAGTTTTTTCAGGCGTTTGTTGTTCATATCAGCAAGAATTATTTCACCACTGGACAATGTACAGCTGGAGGTAATGTCACAGTTGTCTTCCGGACTATTTTCAGTTTGAAGTCTCATGTTATATTCATCCACCTTGCCCAATATAACTGAATGCTTATCTGTTTCCAGCGTGGCAAGCTGTATCTCCTCACACGAACTGAAGTATATTCATGAATTAGTCAATATATTTCTTACCAGGGAGAAATTGTGCATGTTAACAACACGAGTATCAAGTAGATCTACCATTCTGATCTATCCTTCTTTGTAACCGCAAATGTTCTGATCAGCAAGGAAAAGGTGCGAAATTTTAGACATATGAAAAGGTTCTTCATATCATATTAATTTCAAACTTTACTTTTTGTCATTTAATTTACATAATTTATGATACACGAGTTTTAAAAAAGATACCGTTCTCGCGGTGACAGTATAAAGGAAGAAACAGCTTATTTCAAAGAAAAATCATAACATGTTAGTTATAGAATTGTAACAGGATCGACAATACTGAAAGAGTATATGAAGGTTTTCTTTTTAGTGTGTATGGTTAACTACTTTTAATAATAACACCATTAATTTAAAAACAAAAGCATGCAAGACATTAACCTGTGCTTTGTAGCGACACAATCGGCACAACAAATTTCATTGTGCTCAAAACAGTACACTTGTGCTTGTTTATCCGGATGAATTTCGCATCTTTCGAAATTATCTTCTTCTGTAATTATTCCTTGATCACCTATGAAGTAATACAATATTATCATTATTTCACAAGATATTAAATGCATCCGTTTTGGATTTTGGGACGGTTTTCGTTTTGATGTATACACCTTTAATTCTTGAGTTAATGAACTCACGGATTTATATTGTAATATAAATTCGTGATGAACTCAAAAGGTGCGCTATTTACACAATGGATTTATTACTGTATAAGAAAACAAACATAATCATTTGATTTAATATGTTACCTTAAAAAGAATTGACGACACAAGAGCTTATAATCTGCAAGCCAATCTAATGTACCTAACGCATGCTTTTAAAAGCCATCTTTTCCCTCGACGAAATGTATTTAAAGTGTCATAATATTGTGAACAAAACATCCGTACGAACTAGAAAAGAAATATGAACAAGTGTTGAACTTACGCAAATGGTTTTCTATTTCGTGAATACAGTCTGGTGTGATCGTGGCATCAATATCCAAATTCTCTTTAACCTCTTGTTCCAAACATTCTTTCACGCGGGCAACATTTTCCTTGAAGAGTGGACTGTTCAAAGTAGCGACCACATGGTATAGCGATTCACACGACGTGCATTTTATATGAAGTACCGGAACACCGCCTTTATGACAAACTGCGTTAACATCCTCACAAGTTACCTCAACATTATCCATTTCTACAAGCGGCTCTAAGACCTTATCAATAAGTTTGTTAATCTTTTTCTCCTTAGCACTTTTCCTAGATTCAACAATACGAGAGAAATTCGGCGTACATGAAAATACGCCCCTCTTCTTCCGAATAAGTCGGTGCAATCTCTTCAAGATAAGTTGGTACAGTCGTTGATTTGTCTGTACTGTAACTGCCTGAGTAGATCCATGTATATCAAACGTCTCGGCAATGTCTGTAACAGAACGTGACTTTAGTTACTATAACAGGTAACAAATGACCAAGTTTTTTTGCGAAGTGTATCATCTTATCTCAAAATATGTCGTTTAACAGAGTTCATCAACACATAAATTATGATAATGGTAATAATAGATTGATCGAGTTTTCAAATCCTTTATTTTAATATGTTATTTGTTTGAAGACGTTAGACGGCATCAGCTGTAAGATAATATGGCTTAGAGATTTTATGATAATATTAGATAGATGATTCAAAGAGTTAAATATACCATATGTCATACACTGTACTTAACGACGTACAAAGAAAAAAAAAATAGAAAAAAATAATGTTGTTATAAGAATTCATAAATATGTTTCATCATTTCCTCAGTCACGAACTAGTACTTATAACACCAATAAACAAAATGCATAATTTACCTGCATTGCTTTTTATTCGCGTTTGATTCAATTAATGTTTTATTCTCGAAACATTACACATGTCATGAGACGTTTTTACAGGTTAAAGTTGTACTTTTTATATGTTTATATAATACTGTTTAGAGGTTCATATACGACTGTCGCCAGGTTCATATAATAATATTATTAAGATAAGGTTCAGAGGTTAATAAAATATTGTTTAGAGGTTCATATAAGACTATTTAGAGGTTCATATAAGACTGTCGTCAGGTTCATATAAAACTGTTTAGAGGTTCATGTAAGACTGTTAAGAGGTTCATAAAATACTGTTTAGAGGTTCATATAAGACTGTCGCCAGGTCCATATAATACTGTTCAGAGGTTCATATAAGACTATTTAGAGGTTCATATAAGACTGTTTAGAGGTTCATATAAGACTGTTGTCAGGTTCATATAAAACTCTTTAGAGGTTCATATAATACTGTCACCAGGTTCATATTAAACTGACGTTATAACAAGAAACATATTGTAAGATATGTCAGGTTGTGTTGCCATCATTTGAGAACCGTTCAAATAAGCTTGAAATCTTATTAAATCATCACAACAATTTTGCTTTCATATCTAAAATAACTAAGATACTAATCAAAATGTAGAAAACGATTACTAAGAAGATTCGAATTCGATGAATTGACTGCTGGGCTCCTTGCCGGTGGTCCTGTATTGCTGGGTCGTGTGGGGGTTGAGTTTATTGAACACCGCCCTTTCTTGATGATCTTATTATATTTTTTTGAAATTATTGTTTTTTTATATTCATGCAACTAATAAGCACATTCTAAAACTTATGATGAATAGATTTCAAAGAAAAAAAAATAGAAAAATAATATTACAAGAATATAAATATGTTTACATAATTTCCCAGTCAGAACTTCTAAACCACAAAACATATGTATAATTTTTTACCCATTCTTTTATTCACTTTGATTATTTAATTTTTATTCTAAACATTTGTTGAATTTTTACAGGAAATTGATAATTTTTAGTTTCACTATTAATTAATACTTTAAGTTCTTTCTTTCTGTCGCGTGTATTATATAATATTATTAAAATAGTTAATAAAACATTGATGCAGTTAAAATGCTTATTGCCAAAAGACTGTCGCCATTCATCTTTTGAGTTTATATACAAACTTTATGATAATAAGTAAATGATTATGGAAAGCTGGAATAGACCGGATGGCAGCTTGTCTGATCCATGCTTGCAAAAAGTTTTTTTAAGGGTTGTAGGCATTGAACAGTGGAGCTTAGAACAGAACAGAACATTAACAGAACAAACAACTAACACATCTTGAATTTCATGCGATTTTTTTTAAAATCTTGGCTTCTATTATGACAGTTTGCTATTATAGTATTTGAACATTAAATCTTTATTCTGGCAAGGTTTCCGTATCCGTAATTCACTTCAGTCTTGTTATATTTTTTTGTCCTTCCGGATCATTTATTAGAGCACATTTTGAAAATTGAGACTACTCAAGACGGTGCTAGGGGGCATAACGGATGTTGCACCTTTTCATAATACCTGGACAGACTCGATCAAACCGAGTCTGCAATTTTCATGTTATTTTGTTGTGATAAATGCTTCCGAGGAAAAATGCTGTTACCATTTGTTTTTTTTTACATATCCAATAATCAGGGTATATCGATATTTAAATATCATACAAACCTTCTTCTTGTTGTAGTTTTTTCCCTTCTTGTATACCATGTGTTAACGAAATCATCATTTTAAACCAGTCAGGCAGCTCTTTAAAAAAAAGTTGGTTAAATTGAGTAACAATTGGCAAAACAGATGTTAAACACGTACATTGTATTCAACATGAACATACACGCTTTATTAAGAACATACAAACTACTTATGAATTATGTGTTTATTGTCTTCCCAACTATTTCGTTGTTGATGCGCTGCACAATACCATTACACAGGTAGATGCATGTGAAACAGTTATTATATTAATATTTATGCCTGATATTACATTCCTTTGTGCAATGCCTTATCTAAAGTTGGCCAACTTTCAAAATGAAATATATAATATATTTGTGTGCTATCATAACTAGATAGCTCTATTAATGATTTCTTATCCTAAATTTAAAATTTTGACATATCGTGTAACGATCATTATGTTTTCGCAGTATACAATATGTTGTCAAAAATGATATCAAAAAACACAACAGACATTTGTTTACAGGTATAATTAGATCATTGTTTACAGAAGTAATGTACTCTTTCTCTAACAAAAAAAAATGAAAGTAAGAAAAAAGTACAAGTTTGTGTGGCACATATTTTCAGGTAAGTATAAAGTATGTAAAATTAATTAGGTCTTGTCGTTATCCGCGGTATATTCGAAGCACCACAGGGGAGCATAGTAAATATAACGTATTTCTAAACATTGAGAAAAACTGTCTATGTTCGTGAGCTATTCGTATAATAAAAAAATGAACACAAATGTTGGTAGTTTTCTTCCGGACTGTTGGGAAGTAATATTTAACAAATGAATCATGCCAAGTGATATTCTAAAATATTTTTGTCTTACTCATCATGCACTATATTGATTTAATATTGAAGAAGAAGCAGCTTTAACTTCAAAATAGTGCAAAAAGTCGGTTTGCGATATCTTTAAAATCATTTCATTTACACGTCACTGACGACGGTGAATGGCCACACTGAAACTTATTTTTCGTGATAAAATCTGCAATATTATATACCCGAACTAAAAAAGCAATAATTTGACATACTTATTTTGCAATAAATATACACAACTTCAAAATAATATAGGTTTATAGATGCGCAAAAATAAAAAAAAATAAGAATGTGAACAATACGGTTTAAATAGATTCCATGTTTTGAAATCTTATGTGGTTTTGCTGTACTCCATATGAACAATGTGTACTGCAAATATTTGTGCACATTATATTTAATCAATAAATTACAGGCATTCATTTCTTATTGGAAAATTTGACTTAGAATTTATAGAAAATATATTTCTAATTACCTCCCTTTATTTACATAAAATGTTAAATTGGGTAATATCTTTATAAATAATGCTAATTGGAACTTACAAATTGACAAATCTTAATTTGAGCATCATATTTATGAAATAAAACCATGAAAAAATTGTGTTACAGGATCTTTAAACTTAGATATAAGAATGTGAACATTACGTTTTTTTTTTAAATCTTATTAGGTGTATGTTAGTTGTCTTGCCGTACTTCATATAAACCTCCTGAATTTTTTTCAGCATAATACATGTAATTATTTTATAATCTGTCTACTATAGATACTCGTTTTGTACGATAAAATCATGTATATCAAAATATTGACCAAAAAGTACAATACCTTTTTCTAGATTTTGCTTTAGTTCGCCACATGCTTCTTGGTCTTTACAGCCATGATGCGTATGTTTTCCGATATCTTCCTTGCTAGACTTTTGTGGATCAGTATTTGGATTAACTGCAACATTTCCTGTATAAGCTGTATCGTTAGCTGCAGCATTTTTGGATTCATTGTCATCCTTCTTGCATACGTTGCTACCAACTAATTCCGATTTCTCAGGAACATTTTTAGGTATCTCATTGTCCTTGATTTCAGTCTTTTTGTCCGATTCATCATTAGTACATTGTTTTGTGTCCTCTTGTTTTACTTGAGATTCCATTTTATGTACTTTATCGTCATTTACAATGTAAGTTTTCGATTCCTTTTATTTGTCACTTTCTTCTGTTCTTGCCTTTTTGTTTCTATTTTAGATTGATAAGGTTATCAAAAATCAAGAATGTTTTGACTGAAGTTATGATTTTTTATGTGTTTGCCTAGTGTTTGCTAAGTTTAGATTTTTACTTGAAAACAATTAAAGTTACTTTCCTCAGAATTAATTTCAAATTTTTCTTTGCCTTTTGTTTGGAGAAGGTTGGTTTCATCTTAAAATCCGTGAAACTTTTCCTCTGATCCGTTATGTTTTTACCTGTGAAAAAGATAGAAAAAAAATGTTGTTGTTTTTCATTATGATAACTACTTTTTCTGAAGTTTATCATTCATTTTGCATAGCGATTTTGAAATAAGTTATGTTTGCAATATATGTACAATGCGGACGGTTTATGATATCATATTTGGCTTAATTTTTTTGTTTGTTTGTCAATTATAAATCTTCCTTCTTCCTTGAATAACCTATATAAAACGTTTTACCTGTAATACATCACTATAATTTGTCAGCATTCGTATACACTTTCTGTAACCGAGATTTAAAATATACTGCCTTATCAGTGCATTTAGGTTTAACTTGTAATTTATGTTTATTCTAATTTAATATGTATGGGATAAACAACAACAATAACAACTGGAAACATATAATAATTAATATATTGCTATAAAAAGATAAAATGAAGATAAACAACTTGCGTTTTTAAAACTTAAGATTTGTCTCCCACCAAAGATGTATATAAGGTTAACATGAATTAATGTGTTATTGCATTTTGTAAATTGTACCTTTAATTGATTCTTAAGAGCCCTTTTATGCTAGTCAATCAAGCTGAATACGTAAAATGTTTTTAATCAGTCATTCAAAATGTATTCGTATAGGCAAATTCATCAATTAAAGGCAATTTTTTGTGTATAAATTCTCGAAGTTAATCTATTTCATGTTTTAAATATTCGTATTTATAAAATGCACTTACCATATAATTTCGCAAGTCATGTGTGACAGCATGCATACAATGTAGATATACCGCGTTAAATGAAGGGTTAACATTTATCCCTTTAATGCATTTTTACATCTATGATGCATTTCTATCAGTCTTAGAAAAATGAATATTTACAAATATAACACATTCCGCCGTTCTTATTTTTTGTTGTTTTTGTTGTTGTGTTTTGCTTATTATTACTCAAAGTAGCACAAACATAGTGTATTTTTTAGTCCTGCTAACATTTCCACCGTTCCACCTGAGCTCGTAGAGATCATTTCCAGACAGTTAAATGTTTTTGTTTGTTGTTCTTCCTGCTTGTAAACATGTACATGATATATGCGTCCTGTAACGTGAAGATTCTCTCGCATCCTTGGCTGTAAACTCACTCGTGAATCGATTTTTGAATATTCAATAGTCCTACATTCACAAGTATATCCACAAAGACAAGCATCCGTGCGTAAACGCGAGGTTATTTTACCTGTATTTTGTTATCAAAATAAAATACTACTGTAATATCTGCTTAGTATGTTTAAGTCAAGGTGCCCTTACGTAATATACGAATTCTGTATTGTTATAGTGTAATTTGTAATATAGCCTCGCATGTAGGCGAATATCTGTAGATCTGTATGTCAGTTGTTCCACGATCAATGCGCACGATTCAAAATCACGTTGTATATCTGTTTAAATACCTATTGTATATTTAAAATGTTGCAGCTTATTAGTATCAAAGCATAATTATATAATGTATTATGTATATAACTGTATTTCAAATGCTCTGTTACTGATAAGTGTATGATCAACATTGTTTTGTTGACGTATTGGTTTAAGAGAAATGTGGCGTATACACTACGTTATTCCGTTTTATTAATAATGAATGAAACCGTTTGATAATTATCTTTGTAATTTTATTGATTAGAGATTTATAATTCTTGTGTATCATTTGCTATGAAGTCTCTTCGTAAATAGAACAGCGTATTATTTTTTGTCTTATTTGCTAAAAGTACTGCTTTTAGTAAACTTATTGAGGGTTCGTCCGTCCTTTCAGGCACTGAAACTATCCCGTAAATATCAACTGGCAATTCATAAAAGGTGTTTTAGTTAACTAATCAATAAAGAAGCATAATTTTGAATTCAGTAAATCAGTGAATGTACCACTAAGTTTATATGCTAAAAAGGTTTACAATGATAGACCATTTATTAAAGGTGAATATAATATATGAGTACATAATGCCTTTGTTACATGCACATATGCAACCTGACGGGTAAAAAACATAGATATATATATATATGTGTGTTTTTACATGAGTGGTATGATAAGCTTGAATGGCAAATTTCATGAATGTCTCTAAAAATAGAACAGATAAAAAGAAGAAAAAAGGAAGAACCACATTCTTCTCATATGGATGTCAATACATGCATTAAGCTGAATAATCCACTATACATGGTATATTACAGCCGATTTTTTTCCGGAAATTGCCGGTTTATAGATATCAATATCCTGACGTCCAAATCATTGACAAAGTAAGAGGGAATCTGTTTGTAAAATGAAAATGTAAATTTTTTAGCTAGTTTTGTTTATATATTGCTATTTGTTTAATAATTGTGTTTGAATTTGGAATTTTGATTTCTAAACACCGGAAGTCGACCTAAATGTAACTGTTATCTATCGAACACAAATACAGATTTGAACATTGAATCAGCACGTGTTTTTGTGTAAGCTAGTTCTGTAATACTAAGTTATTAAAGCTGCGTTTATGGCACAGAATATAGTTTTGATAAGGAATAATTAATTAACAGGTAGAGGTAGATTTTTATCATAAATTTCATATTAGGGTCGAGGGAAAATGTTATATGTAACGTTGTTTTTACAAGTTCAAAATATTTTAAATAACTTTATGAAATTCAAAACGAATTGTTCAATTATAAAACATGCATTTTTTTCTATGAATATGAGTATAAGAAAATATATATCTTAAGTACTAAACCATGCTACTGTTGTTTAATCTCTACACTATACATGTATATTTAATAAAATGAAAATTTTAGGCGCGTTAAGGAAATTCATTATTCCATCCTCGGTTACCATGGCGTCCTCGTTACGCATACACTACGGAATCAGTACCCGCGGGTTCCGATTCGATAGAGCGGTGGTGACATTTCAACTTTTTGTATTCTCGGGTTCACCTTCACGAATTCACAATTTCAACATTTCAGCTTAATGAATTCATGATTTAAACTTCATAGACTCACGATTTCAACTTCACAAATTCACGACTTTTAATTGCGCGTGATCATGTTTAAACTTAACGATGTTAACTTCGTGAATTCACTATTTAAACATTGTGACGATGAAATCTTTATTTCGTTAAGTTGAAATTGTGCAGTTCAAAACATGAATAATTTATTCATGAAGTTGAATTCTTGAAAGTGAAATCGTGAATTTTTGGATTCATGAAGTTGATATCGTGAATTCACGGATTCGTATGTTGAAAACGTGAACTCCTGAACTCAGGAAGTTAAAAGAGTGAATTCGCAAAGATGAAATCAGGAACTCATGAAGCTCATCCCTACACTGTAAATGTAAATGTTCAAGAATAGAACACATCTTGAACGCCTATTTGCAACAGATATTGAACGCCAAGACGCGTTCCATTTCTTAATACTAGTGTTCAACTTTTGTCTCCAACCGTTCATATACTAACGCCTTATGAACATCTAGGGTTCAAATTTTAACGTTGACGTTAAAATCTTAACACCAAACCATTCCGTTATAGAACATGTTATGAACACTCAGGTGTTCTACTTTTAAATGCCAGACGCGTTCAATTTCGATGCAACAGATATTGAACGCATAGAACATGTTCAAAATTAGGTATGTTAAAAGTTAGAGCACTGATGAACACTTATGTTAACATTTGAACACCTGATAAAACAACAGATCTAAGTCATAAAACAAAGAATCATATTGAGATTTTTTAATTATTCTTTAGTTATTCACAATAACAAAATGAATAATGTTATCCAAATTTCTTATTATTTTCTAACTCTAAGCCTGATATGCATTTATAAAGTAAAAAATGAAAAGATTTTAAGATTAACAATTATGATCAAAATGTAAAAATTTAAATACTGTTTTACAAAATTTTTTCAGAAATTTGTTTGTACATGATAACATGAATCTTGCGTTTCATTTCAGACCACAAAAATACGAGTAATCACACAGCAACATAACCTGTCTCTCAATATCCTAAAATTGTTTCACTTATTGTTATTACATGTTGTATTTTTATGTGTTATATTCTTGTGTGCATGAATGCAGTCTTCTTAACATATTAACACAAGAATTAAGGATAATTTCCTAAATTTCTTCGCAAATACAAACTGCTGCGAGAGTACATAAACAATAATCAATATTCTATGTCGAAACACAAAAGGACACTTGCTCCCCTCTGTAGTGTATGTCATCAGTTTGTGCGGGGTGTTTTCATTTGTCTCCAATTTAGCAGGAAAATCATATTCTTCACTATCCTGGAAAACATTAATGAAATTTATTAACATGCTTGTGATTTAAAGGCTCATAGTTGCTTCCTATGATAGAAATCATTCTGTACAGTTCTGATATAGAGAATAACAGCCTAAGTGCTTGACATACATGTATATAATATATATATTATGTTTAAGCATTATCTAACAATTTATCAGACACCACATTCAAGTCAGATTATCTTAATACAATTCTGACATCACCAGGGCCATGCACATTCTCACAAAGTCGATTTGAATCCGTAGCTACGACTCTTGTACGACACAATTTATTTGTGACACAATGTCAGGCCATCTTTGTAACAGTTATGGAATTTAAAATGATTTGATTAACAATAAAAGCTCATTTGGAAATGTTAGAATTTAAATTTTTATTAACCTAATATTGTTTAAGGAAACAAACCTCTAAAGATCTGTATGGAAGTCTGGAACAGTTTCTGTAGATCTACAGTCTATAGTTCAAATCTTTCATCACTGCTTGAAACAACACTTCTTACTCGCTATCCTATTAAAATATAAAGCAACACAATATATCATACAAAGATCTATACATAATTTCTAAATAATTCATTAATCTTTGCATTTAAATAGATCTAACCCCGACCTCTACTCAGAAAAAATCTACAATATCACATAGATCTTCTCCTTGTATATAAGGAGACACGTTAACTAATAACTACAATATGACGACTTAGTTCTTTTCAGAAAAATAAAATAATTATGGATAAAAAAGAATGCTAAAGAAGTAAAAGTTAATACCGTTTTTTCTCAATTTTAGCCATTGTTACTGTAAAGTGTTCAGCTTGCGTTTCGCCAACGCTTACTTGTTGTTGTTGTTGTTGTGGTACTTGAATGACGTCAGAAATTGTCACAAATGTATTTTTAGAAACGTTCTCAATTAGAACATTCGATGAACGCTACTGTTCATATCATGTTCCACTTTAAAATGTTTTAATTATTAAAGCACCATTACTTGTTAAATTGCGTAAATGTAACCCCAACTGACAATATATTGACCAAAAAACTTACCCAAGTAGTCAAAAACTCAAATTCTTTCATGTTGTCTAGTCAGAAGGACTACCATTGAACACTGACGTTCAAATGATAAGTGTTCAACTCGTAAATAGAACTCCTTTTCTGAACACAGGCATTAAAAATATAAACGCACAATGTTCCAAAATTGAACAAGTGTGAACGCGTCCGGTGTTCTCCTCATTTACAGTGTACCGTCTTTCGTATTCCGCGGATATCCTCATTTAATTAAACGAGTAATTCAGCGAAAAGATTCAGTTGCTTTTCGCTCCTAAAGTCGTATCTGACAATCTCAATATAATTATATTATAGGTATATATATTGGTATATTATAGAATCTGATAAGCTTTGTCATGAAATCTTTTTATACAATCTTTTATGTAAAGAGTTCATGAATTCTTTTTACTTGAAACGAGAATGTGACGAACTTAATAACATTAATGAGCCGCGTCATGACAAAACAAACATAGTGGGTTTGCGACCAGCATGGATCCAGACCAGCCTGCGCATCCGCGCAGTCTGATCAGGATCCATGCTGTCTGCTATCAGTTTCTCTACTTGTAATAGGGTTTGTAAGCGGCAGCATGGATCCTGATCAGACTGCGCGGATGCACAGGCTGGTCTGGATCCATGCTGGTCGCAAACGCATTATGTTGGTTTTGTCGTGACACGGCTCATTTATTTTTCCTGTTGAGTTTTATATAAGTTTATTTCAAATGAGGACTCTGGTAAGCTTTTTTTCCCTCACATGACTTAATCACTTTTCTTTACCAGGAATGCATATAGACTAACTCCGGAATTAAGAATATTTAGGTTTGTCAGGGATCTATGCATAACGTTGGTAGAAACAAACTATTACAGTTACAGCTTCGAAAATAAGCGAAACAGGTTGACTTATCTATTGTGACGGGTAGTGCACCGTGAAGCTATAACGGTAAAATTAAAAAATAGTCCGTTTTTCAACTTTATTTACATATATAAACTGACACGAAACATAGATAGAAAAAAGACTTGCTATATTTACACGTGTGCAATATTATGAGGTTACATGTTTTATACATTGTTGAATACAATACTGAACTTTATTGGACGAGTACGCATCTGACGACGATGCGCTAGCCGAATCTGATATAGGTTTTGCAACTGTGTACGTGTCCTAAAGAATCATTATTGTTCTCATGTTTCCATGTTTACTGACCTCTTTTAGGCTTTATTTCACACCGATATTTTTTTGACATTTTGACAGAACATAGATATTAATACTTCAATTACAGTATAGATTTGATATGGATGTTTGCGCTCTTAAAAAATGAAAACGAGGCTACATGGAGTATGATAGGCATTTGATAATGATATTTTAACTCTATAAAATGAAAACGAGTCAATATAGAGGTCATATGGATTTGATATGAAACATTTGGACTCTGGAAATGAAAATGAGTCTAGATGTAATGTGATACGGATTTGATATGCACTTGGAAATAAAAAACGAGGCTATATTGGTAAGATGCATATCATTGTGATTTCTGTTGAAACATCAGGTGTTGCAATTGCTGCATTGGTTATATTTTATAAGTTGTGAAATAGAAATAAATACATCATGATTATAATAACATAGACAACACGGAAATTCTGTTCTTGCATGTCAAACTGGCGTTTTCGTTAGTTTTACCCATGCCAGAAATTCCATCTGGCATGGGGGGGTGCCAGATGAGTCGCGTGCTGTACAATGGCACGCTTAGGACGACGTCATTTTACCGTTATGAATGAAGTTGTAATTTCATACGCTGTTGAAAGAAAGTAGTTACGGTTGTAATGATATAAATTTCCATTGAAAATAAAGATAAAGAATTTAAAATATAATGGAACATGGTAGAATATGCAAGAAAAAATATCTGACATATGTTAGCGGTTCGGATCTGAATATCCGTCCCTCGGTAACCCGCCCATGGGCGGTAACTCGGCAAGCCTCGTTACCGCCCGATGGGCGGGTCACCTCGGGACGGATATTCCGATCCGAACCGCAACATATGACAGATATTATTAGTAATATATTTTCTTGCATATCAGACTGGCGTTTCCGTGAGTTTCACCCATGCCGGAAATTTCATCTGGCATGGGGGTGCCAGATGAGTCGCGTGCTGTACAATGGCATGCTTAGGATGAAGTCATTTTACCGTTATGAATGAAGTTGTAATTCATACGCTGTTGTAAGAAAGTAGTTACGATTGTAATGATATAAATTTCCATTTAAATTAAAGATAAAGAATTTAAAATATGGAATATGGTAGAATATGCAAGAAAAAATATCTGACATATGTTTGCGGTTCGAATCGGAATATCCGTCCCTCGGTCAACGTCCATGGGCGGTAACTCGGCAAGCCTCGTTACCGCCCAATGGGTGGGTCACATCGGGACGGATATTCCGATCCGAACCGCAAAATATGACAGATATTATTAATGTGTAATACATGTGGTCATTTTCTTGATAGAAGTGTTTCATCATCATACTCATTATCACCAACGTCATCGCCTTCGCCTTCACATCATTATCATCATAATAAATCATCATCATTTTTTTTTATTATTATTATTATGGCATCATTAAAGTACGCGTTTGTTACATCACAATCATTATTTCTTTTTTTTTTCATCGCAGTTATCATGATCACCATCATCAACGTCATCATCATTTACTTCATCATCATCGTTTTATCATCAACAATGTCATGACATACATAATGCTATTGTTTTATTACATGCTTTTCGGCGGTTTAAAGAAATACATCAGGGAAATATAAAACTGTTATTTCACTGTTTGAAAGCGCTTTTCATTTAGTATTAAAGAAAATTTGTTTAATTTAGTGTTAGCTGCGCCACTCGTGAAAAAATCTTTTTGGTGCTTACTCATGTACTCGGTGAAATATATTCCGATCATACATTGAACAAGCAGTTGTTTATAATTGCACTTTAAACCACTGTTTTGAATGAAAAATTTATTTTTAACCATTTTAACTACCTTTTAGTAAAGTTGTATTAGATATTGGTCTTCCTAAAAACTTATTTTAAAAAGTACAGGTAATTATTTTTTTTAGATGCAAATGTTTAAATTTTTGAGTAAAAATAAAGTTGTGTTTTAAATAAAACTTTTGATTTGGGAATTTTATATTTGAATTCCCGGCCCCATTCAAGTAGCGTTATAACAATAATACCAATTTATTACAATATGTACTTCGATTTCAGGACGATGGAGAGGGGGCAATGGTTTGAAATGTCAAAATTACCGAAGATTGTTTTACTAGCTTGCTGTGTGATTGCAGCGGTCTATTTTCTACTTAGTCTTGTTGGACAAATCCAAGTTTCTATATCATCTGATGAAACATCTGAAATACAGCATAAAATAGTATGTAAGTATATATACATGAGTCATCAAGAAATGAATGAGACCTGCTAAATTACGTAAAAAATACAATTGTTACACAAAGTCCCTAAATATACTCTGCCGCGGATGCTATGGTCGACTCCCATCTTTTTGGCAGATCCCGAACTCCTGTTGCTAGGCAACAATTTTTGATGTCCGTAACGACCGCGTTCAAGGCGACATATATAGTTCATTCAAATCGTCATATCGGGATGGTTATTTAAGTTTTGGGAACAGGTCGTAGTCGGGAGGACTTAAGTCCGGCGAATATGGCGGGTGTATAAGAACTTCCCACTGATACCGCTCGTACTCGTCCCAAAGTTACCCTAACAACACCGGACTAGGGCGGCCTGTACGTTGGCCATCGTATCCAAAATTAATTTAATTTAACCGCGGTGTAATTAATTTAGCTCTGGCACAACATAAATATGATTTATGCCGCTGCTCCGGCATAAATAATTTGATTTTTGCCGTGGCTTGAATTTTTTACCACGATATTAAACTACTGCGGATAAAATATTAAATATCATCAAAATGACGTACCGTCACGATGTTTATTAACGTATGCGCATTCGCGAAAAGAGAAAATTAATTTATGTGCCAAGTTTTCCGGCTTTATGTTATTTTAATCAAAAGTTACAAATTAACTCTCATTCATTTCCGGATGACCTTAAGTTTGTATTTGTTGTAATATGCCTTAGTGTTTGAAATTATTTTTGTCCAATAGGATTGCACTATTTCAGATGAATCGTAACACATTTACTTTGGTAAATCAGCAAACTGTTAATCAGTCTATTAAATCGACTGTTTATAGAAATAATTTAAAACACTAAGCCGGTTGAATTTATTAGTACGTATTTACAAAGATAAATTGGTCGTATGTACTTATAAACTTTAACCTATACTTATTCATTTTAATAAGATATTTTAGCACTAACAAAAAATCGATGTATTATTATATGTTTTTAAAGCAATAATTAACGCATTTCTTCATTGGGTAAAAGATACCATGGATCACTTACCTCTTTTCTCAAATCATATCAACATACATGTATATTATCATTTTTGTAGGAGAAATAGTTCATTTGGAAGGATAACTTTAATAACATTACTTTCTTTTCATTCGCACAAAACCAGTGGAAAGGAAGCTCCAGTTTCATTAGTAAGGTGATTAACAATCATAGCAAATATACAAGAAATGAAAGAAAAGAATAACTGTCACTAAAAACAACAATATCATCAGTTATAAAAAGAAATATCTGTTGTCAATTTCTATAACTTTTTTTTCTGGTTTTGGGTTTTAGTCTTCATTTTAACCAAACATTTGTAACAGTCTGATTTGTTCTATTTTATCTTATCCAGATAAAACCGAAAGTGAAAAAGCTTTTCCAAGAGCAAAACTGACAGCAAACGCTCAGCGTGGAAAATGTAAAAAGCAACTACCACAGGCTATTATTGCAGGTCATCTCAAGTCCGGCACTGGTGCTCTGGTAGAATTTTTAAATGAACACCCTCAGATTTCGTCAAGTAACATTCGCACAGATGTACAATTCTTCAACAAGTTCTATGTTTCTAGGGGCATCAGATGGTACCAAAGTATAATGCCGTGTACGTTTAAGAACCAAATAACTATCGAGAAAACAGCTCAGTATTTTTCCTATCCGAAAGTAGCTGAACGAATTCGTACAATTAACACTACGACTAAAATAATTATCATACTTAAAGATCCCGTTAAAGTTGCTGTGTCGCTGTATGCTATGTGGAGAGAGCATAAATCAAATCACGCGCATGAATACACGTTTGAAAGAATGATATCGAAAACCAACGGAACTACTTTTGAAATAGACCCAAATTCTAAAATCATAAAATTGTGCTCGTACGTCCAGAATATGAAACAATGGCTGCAAGTTTTTGAAAGAACTCAAGTTCTTATTCTTGATGGAAATAGTTTCGATGATCATCCAGCTGGGACTCTCAAAGATGTTGAAAAATTCTTGAATGTTAAGCATTTCTTTGACACCGACCACTTTGTTTTCAATTCTACGAAAGGTAAGTACTGTTTTCGGAGATGGAACGGAAAAGTCCGATGTTTACCAGAAGGTAAAGGCCGACCACATCCAAAATTAAATGCCAATGTTATTCAAACTCTTACAGATTATTATAAACCAATGAAGAAAATATTATTTAAAGTGATTAACCAGACGTTATGGTAACGATAATTCTAACGTTGAAATTACCCCCAATGGTTAATAGCAGAAAAAAACGTTTTGAGAACCTCCACAGAAAGAGAAATGGAATTGAAGCAGACGACAATATATAATCAATATATTGGAAATCTGTCTTCATTTATAAAAGCGTTTGATTCTGTTGGCATATCAATAAAGTAATACAAGAAAGGCGAAGAATTTGAATTTGAAAATATCAAGGGAATAGAATTGAAAAATGGAAATTAAATTTTCAAATGGCAATAAAATTTCAAATGGATATAAAATTTAAAAAAAAAATCAATACAATAGAAAAAAGCTTTAAATTGAAAAAAAAACTTAACTTGTTTTAAAGCAGTTTCCGGCCCTTTTCCATTTTCGTCCTGTATTGTCTATTTTTAACAGTAAAGCTTCTGTGTTACTTTATCAAATGAGAGAAACGTTTGATTTCTATGCAACACAGCACAAAAATTAGAACAGCAGTTTATATTATTCTGAATGTTTTTCGACTGTTTAAAGCATAAGAACAGAATAGAACAAGTGTATTTAACAATAAGGACATATACTTGTGTACCTTTTCCATACATGTAACACATATAAACATATGTCAATTTACATGCATAAAACATATAGTGATATAGACCTTTTTTTACAATACTTTTTTCCCTAGTATCGAATGTTGCATTTCGCGCATGCGCATTCTGCATAGGGCAAAAACGCAGAAACGATGACTACAATTAATCATATTTAAAAGCTTTAATATAGACGCAAGTCACTTCTCACTTCACCTCGTCGCTGAGAAGGCAGACGGCATCGGCAGAAGATTTGAACACTTGGGACGGCGCAATAATATCAGAACTTGTACTGCGGACCAGCTGCCGGTGTCCTGACTAAGGCCGAGGAAAGTAGCTCTACAAAGTAGGAAAAGACGACGAGAATAGTGTGCTGGGGTGCGTGCGTGTTTTGTTGTTGTTTTTTTTTTCAAATGAGCCGCGTCACGACAAAACCAACATAATGGGTTTGCGACCAGCATGGATCCAGACCAGCCTGCGTATCCGCGCAGTCTGATCCGGATCCATGCTGTTCGCTATCAGTTTCTTTACTTTTTATAGGGTCTGTAAGCGAACAGCATGGATCCTGATCAGACTGCGCGGATGCGCAGACTGGTCTGGATCCATGCTGGTCGCAAACCCATTATGTTGGTTTTGTCGTGACGCGGCTCAAATGTTTCTTTGACACGATGTATTGCTAAAATTGGACAATGGCTGTTAAAAAGGCTAACACGAGTCGCACCTTTTTAATATTAAATATGAATACAACTGTTCAATTTGTTTTCGTATGAAATTAAAAGGCATAAAGGTTAGATATTTGTCATATAGCATTATTTTCTAGATACCTACAAGTATTCTTGACTTATGGGTGATGTGTTATTCAATCCGCCAGTCCAGGAGAAAATATTGTTTTATTGAAAATTAAATAGCATGAACATATTTCGTCCACAGAAAAGAACATATGCTATACGCATGTTGCAGTTTTCTATAAAACTATTAACATATATCACTATAAAGTATAGTTTGTTTGGTTTTATGACGCACAACAAAATTTTGGTTATATAGTATAAACTGACATTGTAGAGAATTGTTTTATACAAATAATACACAAAAAAAAATAATAAAAAAAATAAAATAAGAAAATGCAAAATAACATTTATACTAAGTTAAAAACTTTTATAACCATTTAGGAAAGTGTTATAAAAGATTGCTCATCTATAAAAAGGACAAGAGATAATTACAGGATAGACGAGACGTTTTTGACATGTTTGAAATGCAAGAGAAGTAAGTACGAGTAAAATGTTTTCAAAGCTTGTAAGAGTAGTGTTTTCGTACTATTTTTACATAATATTATGAGCCGCGTCACGGCAAAACCAACATAGTGGGTTTGCGACCAGCATAGATCCAGACCAGCCTGCGCATCCGCGCAGTCAGATCAGGATCCATGCTTTTCGCTTACAAACCCTATAACAAGTAGAGAAACTGATAGCGACCAGCATGGATCCTGATCAGACTGCGCGGATGCGCAGGCTGGTCTGGATCCATGCTGGTCGCAAACCCATTATGTTGGTTTTGTCATGGCGCGGGTTATATACTTTGTTATTTATACCAAACACGACGTGACTATGATCTATAAAGGCTTTGTCAATTGTGTATTTGTAATTGTTAAAATATTAAAGCTTCTTCCTCGTCTTTATTAATCTAGATGGTTGTGCTTTCATGTTTAATTAAAAAGAAATGTTCAATTTTGTAGGGACATACTAGAAATAATAATTCTGTTTGTTTCGTTTAAATTTATGTATCGCACTTTATTGAAGGTGAATGAACGAAATTAAAAGGAAAATAACATAAATGTGCTCTTTGGATGGTTCATATAGTCCTCGTTGATATTCTCACAATATTTCAAACAAATGCCACTTACATATAAATTACCTTTCATATATTGAAATGTATCCTAAATTCTTAAGTATTGCAATATTTATAGGCCTATGAATCGCCCAACAAGAATGATAAGTAGGTTGGTGGAATATTACCTTGTTAACAATTGAATACAATATGATATTCTATGTCAGTATACGAGGGATGATCCAAAATAACGTAGACTTTAATTGTAAATGTTATATGATCAACCTTGTTAAATCTGTTGTATATAAAATATATAATGAATCTGAATATGTCCAGCATATTCTTACAAAATAAATTGTAAACAAATAAAATCATTTAAAAAACTACATATGAGCCGCGTCACGACAAAACTAACATAATTGGTTTGCGACCAGCATGGATCAAGACCAGCCTGCGCATCCGCGCAGTCTGATCAGGATCCATGCTGTTCGCTTACCAACCCTACAACAAATAGAGAAACTGATAGCGAACAGCATGGATCCTGATCAGACTGCGTGGATGCGCAGGCTGGTCTGGATCCATGCTAGTCGCAAACCCATTATGTTGGTTTTGTCGTGACGCGGCTCATATCAAACATTATAATAACTATGGTCTACCCGACGCAAGTCGCTGATTTCATAACGTTGAACCATTTCTTGTATTATATTAAATAGGTGACACGTGTACCAGGCGACTGTCTGTTCATATTTAATATTAACATTAATTTCACTAGCATTTAGGGCGATGGCTACAATGTTGGAAAATGAATGTCATATAATACACTTACTTGAACCTGCAAGTAGATCCCAAACAGGTCAGAACTGCATTTCCTTTGGCTTAGTTTGATAATATTTTATTGCAACTATTCTTTACATAAATACATGTAGGCTACATCATTGATACAAAAGGTAACATTAGCTGATTCTTTATCACACTGGCCATAGCTTTCGAAAAAGCGGTGGGTCCATCGCAGCGGCGGTTGAGTATTCGTCGCAGAAGCGCTGGATAAAAAAAATGGTCGTCAACTGTTGGCACGTTAATGACTGAATTTTGTTTTATGTTTCACGGGAAACACCTAGTGAGATTGGAGCCCAAACTCTTCGTACTTATTACAGGCACACAATGTAATTCATTGCCATTTATGCAAACATTTCAGTACATTTTGACATGGGACGTCACTTTGCCTAATTTTGGTTTATGATAAACACGTATAAAATTGTGCAAAGCGATCCCTAAATAC